GCGTCAATTTTGAAGCGCGCAAACCTCTACAAATCGTATTTTGGACGAATTTTGTCTACTGCTTCGTCCTGCCAACCCAAGCGTTGCGGCGCAACGTACGGACTAAGAAAGGACGTATTCAGATAATTTGGTGGCCCTATTTCATACAATATCGCATAGATAAGTCGTTCTGCAGATAGGTACTCATAATCGCGATCGCTGATGCTCCTCGATTTTAAAGCCGTTTTACTTACCACGCCAGGAAGTATTGTAATCGCGAAAAATTCCTAAAATGAGATGCTATGTTTTTTAAGTCATATGACATCTACATCACGAAAAACTATATCACTCATGATCAACTTGGAAATTACCGCTCGGATTTTTATGAAATTTCCACACGGGGTTACTAGTATGCCAAAGCTTTGTAGTTTTAGTCCAATGGCAAGGGTGCTATAGGCAAAAAAGAAAGAGTAACAATTGCTGAAACTCCGTTTTTGCCGTTACAGGGGTTCCTTATCACTGACATAAAAAATGTACTGCTTAAAAAGTGGGGGTTGGGGGAAGGTGATTCTAAATGTTGCATCTCTGATATCAGTGAAACACGTTCTATTATTGAGAAGCTTCTGGTCCCAGTGATTACAGGAAATTTAAGTAACGAATAACGATAATTTGCTAGATTTTATACCTGCATTTTCATTTGAATTTCATGTCACCCGTGAAATGTACCCATTTTGCCGTCACCTTCAATTTGTGTTCTGCAGTTTGTGATGTTTTTCTGGAAGTAAGTAGGACATAATTGCCTAAGGTGCTATCAGAGCTTTTTACAAAATTTTGAGTTTGTGCAAGAGTTATGGTGGGTTGAAATGCTTACTATTTGTGCTCAACTTCTTGATATTTTAAAAAGATCCTAGTGAATAAAATCGAAAAATTGGCACCCTGTGGACTTTGTTTCTAGCACGCTGCAAGAGTTTAATTTGGAAATAATAAAAAATGAAACGTAATATGTGAAGTGCAAATCGGTTTTTGGCGAAATTCGTCTACTGTTTCGTCCTGCCAGTCCAAGCGACGCGACGGTGCGTTCCGACTAAGAAAAAATGTATTCAAATAATGTGATATCTTTAGTAAAATAAATTCAAGAACTCAAATTCAAATTCGTTTATTCATGTCAATAAACACAATAATGTTTACAAGGGTCATGTGGTACATGGTAACAATTGCACGAGGGTCATAAAAATATCTTGTTGCCGTCAAAATAAGAGGAAACAGTAAGGTAGTTTTTGCAAAACAATAAACAGGTAGTCTTCTGTACTACGTACATGTCTTGTCTACTGTAATAAGCAGATGGAGGCGATGCTGCCAGAAATGAATTTGTGCGATCAATAAACAAACCACAAGATTGAACTGACGTCTCCAATGATTTTTGTATTGCCTTTTTTATTGCCTTACTAGAAAACTCTGTTAGATATACGATGGAGTTTACTAGAACTTTACAGCTTGTTATCTGCCCTCTTCTACAAACTTCACCAAATCGAGACGCTGTCAACCTCATCCTCCGATGAAAGCGTGACAAGGAACAGTCCTGTGATTTGGTGACTTGTTCGATCTGCAAAATCTCGTCGTCACTTTTTTCAAGTTTCCCTAAAAATTCTTGCTTAACAACCTCCAAATCAATGTCGTTCATGTCAGGCTTTTGACAGAATTCGCCATAAAACTATTCATTTTCTTTAAACTCACTGTATTCTTAATTAAAATGGTCGCATATCACCTTTTATTGTCCATTATCAACTTTGATAAAAAAAGGCAATAAAAAACAATCACACCAACAAGAGTACAGCACAACAATTCAACAACACAATATCGACGAATAGTAACAAGGGGAGAAACATACTAAATGATCACTTGCTGAGTACCAAAATAGGAAACGATTTACAGGCTAGATCGCTAATCGAAATCCGACTCTGTTATTATAAAAATTTACCTAGGTATGCACCCGCAGTCATCCTGTCCTCTTTTAAAGTAGCGCCGACAACAGTCTAGAGCCAGCCCACCGTCGTTTCCGTTTCACCCCCCGTTACCTCAGCAGATGGAGCTCGTGATTGTAGGAGGCCCGTTAACGCGGCGGATAAGATGGACCACCACAGCGACATCGTTACTGAAACGTCGTATCCATGGGTGGGGACTTGTATGTCCATTCCAGTTTTTGCTTAGCATGCTTGTATTTGACTTTTACCTCAGAAAGACTAACTTGTGACGAAGATAGTCCAGAACTGTACCGATGAGTGCAGAGTCAACCTACTTGACCCCATTCTTCTGCGGGAAATAGTCCCGAAATTGTGGTATTCATTATTAATTTCAAGTGTACCCAATTTCTCCTAACGTTTGTTCTGAATTCTACCTTCCATACAACCCCGTGATTATTCTGTCCTGCCTTCACTGGTCCAATGACAGAGCAGTGTACTTTACGGCATTGCTTCCAGTGTTTGCAACAAAGAAAGAATCTTTATTATAATTTTATTTTCCAACGCAAATGCCCGTTTTAAAGCATTTACCTTGTCAGCGTGGAACAGAAATGAGCTTTGTGCTTAAGACCTCTGTCCGATTTTCTATTCGAGATGATGAATATATACGGAAGGCTCGAGATGCAAGGTACTTTAATACGCGAAATCATATTCCGTCCTATTGATCGATATGCATTGGTGTGCAGGATGACGGAAGGTTATTCATTTTTATTACAACTTTTTGATATTGTATTCACCTTTTGGGTTTCAATAAAGAGTTTGTCATCAGGACCGCCATTCTTGAGTCTGAGGGAGTAGAAATTGTGAGAGAAAGTGGCGAAAAGTGGGTGTGGTCAAGAAATGCAGTATTCTTGAAATCAATTCTACCGAAAAGTGATAGAAATGAATTCACTTTAAGGAGTCGCGTATCTCTTGGTGCTGGAAAAATTAGTAAAAAATAGCGCTATATAACCTAAAAATTGACGTGTTTGCCATTTTTGTTGTCGTTCCTGCTAAACATATTGCAAATAATGTTTAATTTCAATCAATTGAGTATTGGAACGATATTATTAACGAGGATGTAGAGGAGGCAGTTGAGGAATGGGAGATTGGGAGAGATATTCTTAATTTCCATTCGAAAATTTGTACAGATGTTAAGGTTTGACCAAAGATTTGGTGTATGAGTTGCTGGAGATATTGACTCCATTCATACAACCACCCCTACGAGCTTCGGCACTTTCGATCACAACAAAGATTAGAGTAGATACTAAGATTTAGTCATTCTAAATCAGTGTTCTTTCACCTATGATTGAATTTTTCCTGGTACATTCGGGCGTGCTCTCGGAGAAATTCAATCATCTTGTCCTTTTGTTTATTTGTAATAAGTTGTTTAAAGTTTTCGGCTCCATAGATAAAATTATAATGAGGTAATCTTGACAAAAATCTTTGGTCAGTTTTTGACTGTAAAAATTTTCTCCATTTTGATTAGCTTAACACGTTTACCCAAACCTGGCAACCCTTTGTCTTGATTGCCTTTCTCATTTCTATCAAGTTTTTTCAAGAATACAGTATTTTCAAATCGACAGAAAAAAGAGGGAGTAGAAATAGAGAGGGAGTGTAATTTTCTCTTAAAGTCAAGAATAGGGGCACAGGAGAGTATCCCTACTAATATTATAAATGAGAAAGTGTGAATGTTTGTCACTCAATCACGCCAAAATGGTTGTATGATTTTTGGTTCAGAGATACTTTATAGTCTGGAATATAATATTGAATCATCTATTTTACGGGATAGAGCCAAAACAGATTAATGGAATTTAGCTGGTCCGATTGAAATGAGTAAGGTTTAAGTAGTTTTTTTTCTTATCAAACACAAATAATAAAAATGTAGCAGGGTCTTATAGGTTTAAAATATTAACAATGAATATTTTGATAATATAAAGTAGAAAACACCAACTTTATCACTCCCTAATCAAATTTGCAGCATAAAAATAGCACATGTTGCAATTACAGCATACCAACCTATTTTCATTTCAATGCAAAATAAGTCTATAACGCATAGGTGGCTGTGAAAAATAAAAGCCATGATAATTGTTTTTATTAATCACAGCTGTCAGAATACGGTTAAAATAGTATGGGTGGTTGAGGTTTTCAAAATGGGTAGAGGAAAGGTTATTAGTGAGAAAATTCGGTTACTAATAATTAATTTTTTTAATTCTGGGAAATCAAACTCGGAAATTTCAACTTTGTTAGACTTATTGCAGTACAGAGTGGAAGGAGAATTTCGAGTTCCACAACTCATAGAGAGGCCCACAAACTGAGATTTAGTACTCGCAAGGTAAGTTTTCTTATAAAAAAAAGTGAAGTAAAAACCCTAAAGTTGCACAACTTATTTATAGGCCAAAGAAAATCCTCTATTAACTCCACTGCAAAAGAAAAATCAGCTTAGATGGGCTAAATAACATAGACAATGACACCTCAACAATGGTGTGCAATACAATGGAGTGATGAGGCCCGATTCGAAGTTGGTGTTGGTGACAGTCGCAGTAGAGTTGTTCGCAAAAAAATGAAGCATTCCATGTTGACTGTCTGAAGAGAAAAGTGAAATTTCCAGCATCCATTATAGTCTGGGGCAGTATGCCATCAAAAGGAGTAGGAAAACTTCATTTTATTGATGGAAATGTGGATAGAAGCAAATATTTGGCAATTTTAGAAGAATCGCTTTTACTTTTGATGGAAGAATGTTTGACATCCGGCCAAGATTTTGTGTTTCAGCAAGATGGTGCAGCGTGCCATACCTCAAAAAAGGCTATAAAATGGATAGAAGAAAATAATGTACCACTTTTGAAATGGGTTTCTAGCAGTCCAGATCTGTCACCTATTGAAACTTTGTGGCATGAGATGAAAAAGGTTCTACGACAACATCCTGCTCGTACATTCACCGAACTGAGACAAAAGCTTCAAGAAATATGGGATTATTTTACACCAAATGTTTGCCAAAACTTGGTTAACACTATGCACCAAAGAATGGTAGCCGTAATAAAAAATAAAGGTGATGTTACCCAATTATAATCTTTCAATTGTTGCTTTGTTAACTTCGCGCATTTATTCGCACATTGTTTATTTGTTCAGATGTTCTATTAATTATAGGTCTAAGTGATTTCAAATATGTACTTTTTACGACTAGAGTGTATCTAAAATGTTTTTGAGAAAATAAATTGTTTTAAATGTAAATAGTTTCGTCATGTTTAGTTTATAAAGGCATATTTTGGTACAAATTTTGAAGTGGGCCAACTGAAGTGGGAAGGGGCTCGTAGGACATCTGCATCGTGCATTTACTGCATTTCCGAATTTCGTTTTCTCAGCGTTTTGATTTAAATTTGTTTGGTGTTTTGTTTTACTTCAAGTATAATGCTGTAAATAAATACTGGTTATCGGTTATTTGTCATACAACCTTTAATGCTGGTCGGCGGGTATTTATCTGTTATTTATCTATAATTCCCAACAGGTTACACCCAATGACCGGAAATATATTAACAATGAAAGTTAGTTAATAACTTAACAACAGCGGAACATGAAAAACACATATAGATGTAGAGGTAACCAAATAAGTTCGTGCGGTTTTTAGTAGAAAAATATAAATTTTATTGAGAAACAATATTATTCGTCGAAGTAATCACCATCACATTCAATGACCTTCTGCTATCGTAGAACCAATATTTGTATGCCGGTATTGTAGAACTCCCTGGATTTAGAGTAAAAAAATTGGCGGACTGCACTTATTACACCATTTCGAGTTGTGAACTGCCGGTGCCTCATACAGTTGTCAAGAGACAAAAAAAAAAGACATAGTCACTGAGCGAAATGTCGAGAGAATATGGCAGGTGCGGTAACGTTTCTCAGCCGAGTTCAGAAATTTTTTCTCGGGTCACTTTTGCGGTATGAGGCTTGGCGTTATCCTGTAAGAATATCACTTTCTTCCGATTGATCAAAGAAGGCTGTTTCTGGATGAGTGCTGCTTGTACTCGTTGAAACTGCTCACAATATAAGTTAGCAGTGATGGTTTGACCCCTTTCCAAAAACTCATAATGGACAATTCCAGTTGCTGTCCACCAAACACGCAACAAAACCTTGTTTGGGTGTAAGGGCGTGTGTGGCACCGAATCAGTAGGCGACGACCAATGATACGAACGCTTATAATTCTAATACAGCCATTTTTCGTCGCAGGTTGATAATCTATTAAGAAATGGTTCATTAGCGTTGTGTAAACTGTTTGCTGAACAAATGGTAAGACTACTTAATTTGTTATCATTTGTCAGTTCATGTGGGACCCATTTCCTTAACTTCCACGTCTTTCCTAGCTGATGAAGATGCAAACGAATAGTTTCAGGATTCATTCTGAACATTTCTGCAAGTTCTTGGCCCGTTGTCCTGGAATTTGCGTCCAAAACCTGTCGAAGATCCTCGTTGTTAATGATTTTTGGTCTCCCTGAGCGCGGTTCATCGCTCAAACTGAGATCTCCCAAACAACATTATTGAACCTCTTCTTTGCTGTACTTATTTGGCTACCTGATAATATAACGTATGCACTAAAAGTTTTGACACAAAATTCATTGGCTTTAATTTTAACAAACACAAAATAATATCAAGTTGCCTTTGGAAACAAAAGTTTGCTTACCTACATTACTGGCAGTTGACATTTATTTGTTTTGAAGTTTTCGCTTTAAGATAAATTAGAAAGAAGAAAAAGTATCTGTAAGTTGGTTGGGCTGGTACCCAAAGCTGAAATCTGTCGAATATTCCAGAATGAAAACATTTCACGCAGAACCATTTATCGAACAATAGCGGAGTGCGACCGCGTGCATTTACTGCACAGAGGTCAGAGAGATTGGTGAGGAGAGCAAACAATCAGGTTGGAATGTCATCAACATGACTGGCTCGTCAATACAGATCTTCTAAGAGTACGATGTTGTTGGAATTGAAGGAACGGTCTTAAATATCGAAATAGACTTAAGTGCCACAAATACTCTCAAGCGCAAGTTCTTCGTAAACCAAGATGCTGTCATACACTTTGCCAATGGAAAAATCATTATTTTAGATCACAAAAAGTATTTAACTTTGAGTAATTCTGAAATGAAAGGAAACGACGGATTCTATACGGACAACGTAGAGGAAGATCAGACACAAAGATAAAGCGAAATTTGCAGATAAGATTCTTGTCTGATACGTAATTTCTATCACGGTGTATCCCAACCTTTTATGGGAAGAGTGAGGGTGAAGCTTTGAATAGTCAGAGCTATATTGATAACTGCTTGTCCAAATTGCTTCAGTTTGTCCACGATCATCATGCTAATGACCATATCATGTTTTGGCCAAGAGATAACCAAGACTGGCTTCCACAGCACAACATACCTCTTGTTCCTCCAAATTTGCTCCGTACAGGATTTTTGGGCTTTACTGTCTAGGAAAGTGTATCATGGAGGCTGGGAAGCCCAAGATGAAGAACAATTAAGACGGCGAAGAGAAATTGATCTGAATTCCGTATAGGACGAAGAAAGTTGCGCCTTGTGGAGCAGAATAAGGCACTCCACATAATTCGGTAGTATAGTTTAGTTAAGGATTGAGCTGTAATTTATGACTAGACTAAACTTCCGACTTTGCTCTCCAGGAAGTAGTGTAAAGTATAAATTTAGGTATCGCGTCGCGAGTTTGCGTTTTTAAAAAACGTTTTACAGGCGATTTGATACACTTTGTTTACTAAAAGTACAAATATCGTTTCAGGCAACAATGGTTTTGTTACCAAACCTAAGACTGCGTGAGCTTACAAGCGATTGACTAATAGATCTAACCTAAAGTAATAGCTTATGTAAACTGATGCCTAAAGGGCACAAACAAGAATTTATAATATGGGGTTGTTTACAAAGATAAGATATAAGTACACCAATTAGGAAGATATACGAGGGGCTCTCGCTATATAACTTATAGGTAATTCGTTTCGCATTAGTGTGAAGGAGATTGGCTTCGGAGTATTATATATATATACAGGGTGACTTTGAAGTTGAGTCATTAATTTTCAGATAGTGATTGTAGAAGGAAGATAAACCAAAATATGTGTGTAAAAATAAAGAAAAAAATAAAAAAAAATGTTACCTTGTTTTATAAAGTATCCTCCCGACAAGTATTTCAGTGCGGACCTGTATTTGATCGTGCGGTCTTGGAGCACCGGCATCCCCTGTGAGGTGTTAAGTCACCTGATTCACGAGCCCTTTGTACTACATTAACAAAGGCACGAGGGGTTGGTTGCACTCGATTGGGAAACCGATTTTGTAAAGACTCCCCCCCCCCCCCCGTAAATAAGAATCATGTCCACAAGTTCAGCATTTTCGTAAACATGTGCCATTTTTTATTTCGTTTGAGCCACGCAAAAAACACCACTATTCACTCACGCGTTACCGACTGAATCCAACTAAAAACATCGTGATAAGCGTTTCAAATTCTTTCGCTTTTTTGTTTCCGATGCGATGAACCGATGCGGATTATATCCGTTGTCGCCAAACACGAGCACATAATATTATTATTGATACAGGGCGGTACTCAAACTTCTAAAGGGCTATAACTTTGTTACTTTAATTTTACCAGAAAAATGTTAAAGGAAAAAACATTTCTTTTGATCAGATCTACTCACTGTTAAAATAAATGACTCAACTTCGAAGTATATATATATTTTATATTATCAACAAAAAGTAAGGAGTTCATTTGAAAATTTATCTGATCCTGAAACGACCTTGTAGGTCTTAGTCAGGTTCGTTGGCAAGTATATAATTGAAATTATACTTTATGTATAAAACATAGCACCGATAGATCGCGCCTTAGTTGTATAGGCTAAACTTGAAAGATTCTTAACAGTGCCGAATGCTGAAAACCTCTTTCAGGGTAGTGACCGTGACACTTCAAATAAAGATATTCAAGTGCCCTACGCTGCACACACTCAATGCTCTCCCTGTGGTTTTGATGGGTAGGAGACCAGATCACAGATGGGCGCTCAAGCTTACTCCTAATAAAACTGACATATATTATAATCATATTGGCAAATTTTCCCGAAATAAGTCCGATTTTATTGGTGCAAGTTGTTCAAGGGGGTATTGAGAACATGGACGAATAAAATGGGTACAACAATTTTTGTGGGAAAACTTTTTATTTGACGGCAAAGAATGAGAAGACGTTTTTTTTGGGATTCAATCGAAAATGTTGATAGAAACGATATAAGATTTTTATGTATTTATGAGATCTAAAAAATGAGATCACACGTAAAAAGTTTTTTGAGAATTTCTAATTTTTTATCCCAAAACACTTGTTTTCCGGCCATCCCTACAAGTTTATTATCAACGAACACTTAATAGGAAAACACACGTGTTTTCCTTGACGATATAAATCACCAACCATTCCGAGAGATAAATGTTATTTTTATGCGAAGAACAAAGGTTACGTATTTTTCTTCTAAACAAATTCAAACATTTCGTATTTGTGAGTAATTGAACAAATGCGCTACGATATTCGAAAAGCATACATTACTATACACATTTTAAAACAGAGCGGATGTGTCTATCATCTTTTGTTGTGAATTACTCACAAATACGAAATGTTTGAATTTGTTCAGAAGAAAGAACGTAACTACGTCCTTTTTTGCATAAAAATAACATTTATCTTCCGGAATGATACTTAGGAAGTTTATAGGCGTTTCTACAATTGTTGGACGCCTTCATGGCCTCCTTGATTTTCATAGTCTTTTCTCTCCTTGAGTATCTCTAGATTTGTACTGTTCCGAGTCAGCGTCAGCGCTCTCCTATTGCAAAGTTGCAGAAAATTGCAGTATGATGAAACGGACGATATAAATCAAAAGCATGTACAATTTAATGCAAATAGATACTTTTGACATAACCACAAATTAAAGAGCTGCACGGAACATTAGAAAACTACGAAAATCAAGGAGGCCGTAAAGGCGTCCTATAATTATAGGAATGACGGACGATAAGGTCCTAGGTATTTTCTGTTTTTCCTTCTGCAGAAAAAATATTTATCTTATCCATATTGACGTGGTTCAGGACCCTCTGGACTGTTATTGGATTGGACCATTGTATAGTGGCAGCGAAAACAAGTGAACTACCTCACGGAAGACAAATAAGAACATTGTCATTGTCATTTTTTATATGTAATTCGAAAAAGACCACCGATGTGATCGAATCGTTAGTAACCCTTTCACTCTACACCTATGGTTTTATTTATCTACAACGCCAAGATTCATTTCAGGAGCTGTTTCACCAGATTATCTGAATGTGGTATACTCATATACCTACGTGCCTCATTTCTTAAACATAACACATTGTCTCAGGTTCCGCCGTAAGTTTAAATCAGCGAAACAATCTTTGTCTCCCCATGTTACGTTTCCTTGTTATGAGATAATTACACAAACGAGTTTGTAACGCCCCTAATGTTCTTAATTCTCCTAAATCTCCGCTGAAAAGCTCTGTATAAATCTGATTTTCTTACGCTTGCAGCCTTACGCGCACATTGCAGAGCTTTTCCTTGGGCAGATTTGTATACTAAGCGACAAAGATAAAAGAACAGTCAGTAATGATGAATGTATTACAACAATTTTTTGTATAACTGTCTCTTAGGATTAGGTAAGTGATTGATTAAATTTTCAGAAAAATCTAGCCGTTGAGAGAATTTACAAAATTAATGCATGGTTGGTCCTCACGTTGTCTTATGCATCCAGAAACATGTCAGGGCATACTTTAAATACGAGCCCCTTCCCACTTCAGTTGGCCCAACTATTGAAATCTTAGTTTTTTTCTTATCAAACACAAATAATAAAAATGTAGCAGGGTGTTATAGGTTTAAAATATTAACAATGAATATGGATAATATATAGTAGAAAACACTTTATCACTCCCTAATCAAATTTGCAGCATAAAAATAACACTTGATGCAATTACAGCATATCAACCTATTTTCATTTCAATGCAAAATAAGTCTATAACGCATAGGCGGCTGTGAAAAATAAAAGCCATGACAATTGTTTTTATTAATCACAGCTGCCAGAATACGTTTAAAATAGGTTTGGGTAGTTAAGGTTTTCAAAATGGGTAGAGGAAAGATTATTAGTGAGAAAATTCGGTTACTGATAATAAAATTTTTTAATTCTGGGAAATCAAACTCAGAAATTGCAACTTTGTTAGACTTATCGCGGTACAGTATGAGAAATATTGTTAGAAGATATAACGTAACTGGTTCAGTTAATATTAAGCCACGACATGTGAAAAAAAGTAATACCACAAATGCCGACCGAAGAGCATTAAGAAGAATAATCGTGAAAAAGCGGCATGCCAATTAGTTACAATTGAGTGCTCTGTAGAGTGACGCTGTTGGAAGGAGAATTTCGAGGTCCACAACTCATAGAGAGGCCCACAAACTGGGATTTAGCACTTGCAAGGTAAG